AGGGAGGGGAACTATACTAAAGATTGAGACAGGTTTGAGACCTATGGAATAACACCAGCATAAGGTAGTTGTGGTTCTTTGCACAGCCAGCAGCATCCAAAGCACAAGTAGCTTCCAAAACTGTTTACACAGGTGTTCCCAGGTGTGAAAGCAGCACTGAGCACTGATAATACTGCTACAGAGAATACATGCATCCACATGTAAAGCATCCAGAAGAGAACTATCTTGACACAAGCTGCTATACTGTTTGCCTTGCATAAGCCTCTCTGGAGGTTCCCAATTCCATTATGGAAACAATCCCTCCATTTATAACTTCCATACAGCCACATGCAAAATGTTTGTATTGCTTCTGCAGAAGCCAGAAGCGGAGCTGTTAGGGATCAGACCAGCATTCTGTTCATTCAGAGGCCAACTGGGTTCCTCTGTAACCCACAGGCAGAACACAAGTGCAGTGTATCCTCCCAGTCATGTTCCCTAGCAACTAGCATTGAGCAGCCTCTGATTATGCAGATAATACATGAGTAGTAGACATTGATAACTTTATGGTCCGCAAATTTCTCTAAGGGCATAATGCAGTGAGGCTGTCCTTTGCTTAGCGTGCAGAAGACTTAGAAGGCCAATTTCAGCTATGTAACTGTTCAGCCTTGGAGAGGGTGGGAGGGAGTGCAAGGCTAAAGGGTACTTTGCATGCTGGCAGAGCCTGTCTCCTCCCTTCCCTGCCCTTCCCTGCCCTTTCCCCCTCCCCAAGAAGTCCATCTCTGAGAATGCTTTTGTGACCTTAGAGCTACAGCTAGAGTGGTTCCTTCTGCATCAGCTGTGAGTTGGAGAAGGGAGTGCTGAGTTTGGAGTCCTAACTGTGACTTCAGAGCAAGGCCAAAGGTGGGATTCCAAAAAATTCTGTGGCAAGCTAGACTCTAGCAGTCATAGGAGTGAGCTGTTAAATTATTTTAAAGTTGTGTTAAGTTGGTGGCCATCACTGCATCTTGTGACAGTGAATATGATCGTTTCATTCAGTGCTTATATGAAGTATTTCCTTTGATCTCTGCTAATCACCCAAAATTTCAGGTTGATCTCATGGGATGACCCATGAGAGAGGAAATAAAATGTCGCTCTGATCACTATCTCCATACTAGGGATCATTTTATATGCTTATATCATGTTCCCCCATCTGTCTTTTTTCTAAAGTAACTGCACCCCATACAGAAATAGGTTTTGATAGGGGAATTGCATCAGTTACCTTCATAATTTTAGTTGCCCTTTTCTACACCTTTTAAAGTGTGGAGACCAGAACTTCATACAATATTCCAAGTGTGTTTCTCCCTTGTGGATTTATTTAATAATAATATCATACTGGCAGTTTTATTTTTTATTTCTTGCTGTAATGCTCCCAAAGGTGGAATTTGTTATTTTCACAGCAGATCCACACTGAATCACCCACCACAACACCAAGATCCGTTTCCTGGCTTAGTTACCACCAGCTCAAACACCATCACTATATATAGGAAAGAAGAATGTTTGACCTCAATGTACATACTCTACATTTGTTTACACTGAATTACAGTACCATTTTAATGGCAATTTCCCCAGTTTGGAAAGATCCTTTTGGAGCTGCTTTTGTTTCATTTTGTGTTGACCATCCTAATAATTTCATCAAATCTTGCCACTTCATGTGCCTCCTAACTCTGGATCATTTATGGCAAGGTTAAAAAGCTCTAAGTACAAATCCTTCAATGTTTACAGTCCTCCATTGAAAGAACTGTCTGCTGCTACTTGCTGCTTTATGCTCTTTAACCATTTATCAGACCACAAGAAGTTATTGATCCACTGGAACTTGCCTTGTTCTGAGTTAGATCCTTGGATCATCTAGCCTAACATTTTCAACACTGACTGGCAGCAGCTTTCCCGGGTTTCGGGCAGGATTCCTTCCTACCTGGAGATGCTGGAACTGAATCTTGAACGTCCTGCACGCAAATCGTGTGACTTTTGGAAGTCATAAGAGCAAGATTGCAGCAGGAAGTACTGGGAACTGCTTGGTAGCTAAAGGGGAAAGAGCAATGCAATGAGAAACATGAGGTGTTGGATTGAGTTACATTCAGAGAGAAGTGATCATGGCTTCACACATCATGGCCTATCTGAAGTTTTCATCGGAATGACAATCCTTAGATGAAAAATGCAACAGCAAGCCGATGCTGCACAGAAGACACAAGGAAGACTGCAATGGAACTGAGCCTGTGACGTACCTGCTCCTAGTCCATGCCATGGGAGGACACTGTAACAAAGCTGCAGCTTAGAACATTAAGAAGTCCCAGGAAGAGCACAGGCACAACATAATCAACATTCAGTCCTAATGGGCTCAAAGTACAGGATGCCAGATTCCAGCTGAACATCAGGAAAAACTTCTTAACTGTTAAAGCCATGCAGCAATAGAACCAGTTCCCCAGAGAGGTTGTGGGCTCTCCCACACTGGAGGCATTCAAGATGCAGCTGGGAAGCCATCTGGCAGGGATGCTTCAACTCGGAAGTCTGTGTTGAGCTTGGGGCTGTATCCAATCCTGTTATTGGCCCCTTCCAACTGTACTATTTTATCATTATGAATGGCCCAGAGAGGTCCAGCTTTAGGGTGATATGTAACTGTAATATACATCAATCAATCAGTCATTAAAAGAGGCGACCAAAAAGCCATTCGGTATACATGAAGGAAAGGGCTTTCCCTGCGCCCAGTACCTTGCAAGTCAACAGGAGGCCTACAGCTTCTGCCAGAACATTCAAACATAGATAGATTGGACAGCATGCCAGTGAGAATGACTGTTTCATGGGTTAGTAACCTAACTGAGATAGCAGCTTGGTCCATTCACGCACATTAGGATGCCTTGCATTTTGTCTACTGCCTTTCACCCTATCCAGCTGTGGCCACCCATAGAAATTAGGATAATAGACGGTGCCTCTGCAGATTGTCCCATACCCATTTGTCATTGGTCTCCCCACCGCCACTTCCTCTCACCCAATTATTATCACATCAGCAGTAGCCAGATGTGAGCTTTGAGATGACACTGAACTGCTGGCTCCAACTTTGCCCTTGCAAGAAGTCTTCAGGTAAAGCATGCAAAGGCAGGGAGAAGCTATTGTCTCCCTTTCTCAGTATTTCTATATTTTGTCACAGAGACCTGTGAAATGCACCTTTCTTGAAGGGGGTGGGGTGGTTCTCTTCAACGTGGCATAAGAGCAGAGTTAAAACTGAAATGCCCACAGGTTTTATTCAGTGTCACTGACAGCATCGCAGAGGAATAGGCATTGCTACTTAAGTATTGCAGCCAGATTGTTCTGCCTTTCAAAGCTTCATGAGAGAATGGTTACTAGTACAGGTTTTCCTCTCACTGCATCTCCTTTGAAGATGTACAAACTTTCCTCACAATTTGTCCAGCAAGAAGTCTTGCACTGTTCCTTCCTCAGCATTGAACTGTTCATCCTTTATAAATGAAGAAGTAAAAAGTTACACATTTAGGGTACAATTCTATGCAAGTTTAGAGAGGAAACTCATTGAAGATTAGACAGGGAGTTTTAGGTGTTCTTTTGGCATCTAAACTTTCATAGGATGCACTTCTAAACGTTTATTGGACAGCATAATCCTCCACCCACTAGACAGAATTTAGATGACCAGGGGATTTTTCAGATTCCCAGTTAAGAGGTCAGAAAACCATCCCAACCTCATAGCTGGGGATCTGTGGAAGCAACTATGCTGAGTGCTTCAAGGTCATAACAGTGACCCTGTAGAAGAGCTTTTGGGGGCATTCTAAGGGGTGGGGAGGCCATTGTTGCTAGCTAAAACATATCCTGGTGGTTCCTCAGCCTCCTTCTCTCCCCTTCAAAATACCAGGATTAGATGGGCAAAAACAGTTGTCCAACTGCTTTGGAGAGTGGGA